TGTGAGTTGAGACACTTTCATTGCCTATGAAATTACATTGTTCTAAACACTATAAAACACATTTCTGCCCAAAAGCAAAATTAATAAGCCAACTTTCATGGACATTAATTTGTTGGGAGTTTTTTTCTTCAGCTTCTCATTGTTTCTAATGCATACATAAAAATAATGTAGAGAGCCTTCCAAAGGAAAATTAAATAAGTCACTTTAGATTTTTCGCAGATATGTATCTTACAAAATAATTTCTCTTTAGTAGGCTGTGACTTATGGTGGCCTGTGCACCACACGCATCAGGATCCCTGAAAATACAAAATGTTCTCTCAGTGCAGGGTGATCTGTTTGATATGGGACCCATTAAACTTGAGTTTTGTTTTAAATGAGCTACTGGCACTTCAAGCAACCAATTATTTGTTCTCTTACAGCTGAGCCGGGGCATCTGGATTTGGAGATAGACTCAGGATACTTCAGCACCGTGGACAGAGCCTTGTTCTCCCCTTTGGTTTCATAATCCTTGTCTTAGACTCCCGCACTAAGAAGGTAAGACTAATTAGCATGTATTTGAGTGAGTAGCTAAGAATCAAGGAAATAACTGACCTGTCTTTGTAAATAATAAAATCTTGATTTATTTTGTTTCAGAAGGGAATCCAAAAATTGAGTCAAGCCTACTAAAAAAGGAAGAAAAATGTATACTCTTCTGAAAGCACATCTAATATCTTTATAGGTGATATTAGGATATTCATAGATACTGTAAGCCTGCTGAATTTCTTTTCTCCCCTTACTGTCATACTATCATAATATTTATGTGTATTATTTTACCTTTTTTTATATATGTGTATGCAGGTGAACAATAAATGGGTATCTGTCTGTCTGTGTCTGTGTCTGTGTCTATGTTTGCATATGGAGACCAGAAGATAACTTCCAGTGTCCTCAGGAATGTCATCCACTTCATTTGAGACAGAATGTGTCAGTGGCCTGGAGCTCACTAGCTCGACTAAACCAATAGGCCAGTGAACCCCAGGGATCCTATATTCATCTCCTGCGGGCTAAGATTACAGATGTGTGTAACCATGCCCAGCATTTTTACATGGGTGCTGGGAATTGGACTTCTAAATTCATGCTTGTAAGGCAAATATTTTACCATTTAAGCTATTTCCCCAGCCCGTTTATTAAAACTCACTGAGTTCTAGGTCTCAAGACCTTTGCCAAGAACTCTAGTCAGTGAGATGATTCAGTAGGTAAAAGTCCCTGCTACCAGGCCTGATGATCTGAGTGAGTTCATTATGCAGGGGAAGAACTGACTCCCACAAGATATCCTCTGACTTCCATAGATGTGCTATGTCATGCATGCCCACATAGGTGAACACACATGCACATAAAATAAACAAGTAAAACTATAATTAAAAAATTAAAGAACTCTAAGGCAAGACCCAGGTTATGGTCATAAACCTATAATTCATGTGAAAATAGATCCTAGTAGAGAACCTGCTACTACTATTCTACTAAATGGACATAGTAGTGACCTGACTTCTGGTGACTTATTGCTATATATTAGTGCATCACTCAGCCCTCATTAGAGAGGATTCATTTTACAGTAGATGGTGATTAACACAGAGACCCACAACTAGCCACCATGCTGAGAATATGAGGCCAGTGTGCTCAGCCTCAAATGGGACATTGGTATCACACTCTCTCCACCCAAGGCTCAGGGGTCATTGTGGGAGAAGGGGTGAAAGGGCTGTAGGAACCAGAAGCAGGAGAGGACTACAAGGAGACAACAGGGAAGATGCACCCATGAACTCACAGTGTTTGTGACATCGTGGGTTTGTCATATCTGCAGAAAACCCAAACAAGAAAACCCAGCCGGGAAAATTCCAGCACAAGGGGAGGAGGTGAGCATGAAGTTCCACCCTCAGCTGAGGAGCAATCAGCAACTGATCGCTAATGGAAGAGGGAAAGTCAGTTGTCTTTCAGGGTGTGTGATACAGAAATGATGGGTAAAGGGGTAGATTATAATGAAAATCAGGGTAGATCATTAAATCTACTTTTATCCAAAATACAACTGTTAATCTCAAAATATTGTACGTTAGTATGGATTTTCATTTATTGATACAAATTTAAAGTCAATTTTGTCATACTGTGTGTATATTTGTACTCCTGTTTAAGGTATTATGTTTATGCAGCTCATTTTATGTATGTAATGTATGTATTAAATGTATAATTAAAAAGTACAGATTAATAGTCATCTATAGTAGTCAAACTGATAACCATATTAGTTAAGTTTTTTAGGTATACAAAGATATATTTCAATTAGGTAGGTAATCTTCAAACACTTCAAAGACCTACAGAATACGGCATTTAAAACATTTTAGGAACTTAGACTTTTCTTCACAGTGTCTGCTCCTGGAACCACCAGTTACTTCAAAGAGGATGATGGGCATTGAAGAAACTTCTTATGGAATTTGCTTTCAATGTGGCAAAGCTAGCCATTTGAGCAAGAAACTGCTCCTGCCTAGACTGCTTGACAATATACTGTATAAATTGAATATGAAGAACCCAAAGTAAAGTGACTGCTAACCTTTGTCAAAACAATGCTGGATAGTCCTTCAGGGTTTCTGCTTCACAGAAAAAACTGCCAGATATTCTGCAGGACACAGATGAAAGCAACTGATAAACTTTGCCAATATAAATGAGACAGTCTTTCAAATTTCCTGCTTCACTGAAAAGTCTGCCAGATACTCTAGGCCCATAGGCTAAAGATGAATGCTCCAATGTTACAGAAAAACCTTGGGTGACTGTCCAGGCAGTCTCCTAGCCAAATGTCTCTGTCATTTCTAGAGTTTTGGAAGTTGCTTGCAATGCACTTCCTGTTTACTTAGGTGATACTATTTTCCTTTTCAGGTCTTTGATGGGTGGAAGACTAGATAGTTATAATTATTGTTTTCCTTAGTTATAATAAAAGGTAAATTAGATATAAAACTTTAGGTTCACAAAAACAGGATAGATGATAGAGTATTTTCTTTAAGTTTGCCAAATGCAAATAGACTAGATATTGTAACTGATTTTTACTTGATAACTGTTTTTATTATATATAATTTTACTATGTTAAAGTTAAAACCTTCCCTTTTGATTAGACAGAAAGGGGGAAATACTGTGGGATATCCTTCAATATGTTGTGAATGTGTGTTGCTCTCATTGTTAATAATAAAGCTGATTGGCTGGTAGCCAGACAGGAAGTATGGGTGAGACAACCAAACTAAGGAAGGAAAGAGAGCAGTGGAGTCAGGCAGATGCCAGCTAGCCGCCAAGGAAACAAGACACCAGAGCACCAGTAAGCCACGGGCTACATGGCGATACAAAGGTTAATAGAAATGGGTTAACTTAAATGTAAGAGCTAGTTAGTAATAAGCCTGAGACATTGGCTGAACATTCATAATTAATATAAGCTTCTGAGTGATTATTTGAAAACAGCTACGGGATAGGGCAGGACAGAGAAAAGCCTCCAGTTACAGGAGTGGCTTCTGGTGGATCAAACATGTTCTAATAGTTGGCCTCACACCTAGGAAAGTATGGACAGGACAAACTGATTACTTTTAAAAAGAAGAATACACAAGTTTTAGAAGTAAGGAGGTGAGAGGATCTGGGATCTGTGAGGAATTAGGGGGAGCTGTGGGAATAAATGTCAAAATACACTGCATGAAATTCTCAAATAATTAATTAAAATATTTTTTATAAAATGAAGAAAGACCAAAGAAAGGTCCCAAAGATTGCTTTCTTAGGACTGGAGAGATGGCTTTGTGCCTAAGAGTACTTGCTGCTCTTCCAGAGCATCCAGGTCAACACCTATCATCCAAGCCAGACAGCTCACAGCCACCTGTAACTCCAGCTCCAGAAGGATCCAGTGACTCTGACATCCATGGGCACTCACATGCACATAAACACATGCAGACACTTGCACACATACATAATTAAGGACAATAAAAATAAGCATTTATTCTAAAGACAGCTTTCCCACACTGGCACTCTATGATATTAAGGGAATAATCCAGCACAAAAAAAATTTCATATTTGCCCATTTTGGATGAAGGGTAAGAATGTAGGCTTAAAATCCTTATCAAAAATTATCAGTGACCTAATTCTCAGAATCCAGAATGGTTTTACATTTTTTTGAAATTATATCATCTAGCTTAGGTTGGTCTAGAGCTCACTATTAACAAAGAATAACTTTGAGTATCTCAACCTTCCACATTCTAAGTTCTGGCATTAAGGTTTGCAGCATCCCTCATTTACACTGGGAGGATTGAGCCCAGTGCTTCATGCACGATAGGGCAAATCCTCTTCCAACCGAGCTATCTCCCGGGCACTGTTCCACACTCTAGAACAAAAACTAAATTGTACACTATATAGCACCCCTAAAAGGATTAAGTTATCACAAATAATCGAACACATTTCTATTTATGCGCTAACATTCACATTGACTGGGACAAAGACTATGAGTAGCTTCTCAAGAGCGGTGGAAATTTCAGATGAGGTCAGATCAGACAGAAAGTTCCAAGGAACCAGGTAGGTCCCAAGAAAACAGTTTTCCTGATCTTTGGATCTCTAGACTTTGAATATGAGACTGTGGAGCTAGATTTATTGAGCAAGAGGCATTCTGCATACATTAAAATTTAATCTTTACACTAAAGCTCTCAGGAACATTTTATTAGTTCCATTTCATACATGAGCAAATGTAAGCTCAAAGAAATTAAAGAACATGAGTTAGGCTATGCATCAGCGAGGGTGTAACCAACGGTTGAAGCAAGCCTTTCTTCTTCTGCCCATCTATGACTCCAGTTACTGTTGCTTCTTCCCAAAGGAACACCACTGTGGCATGACTCCTGTCTCTATTCCATCCAGGTTCATAGATTAGAGAAAACAAATGCAATATTATTCTCACAGCCAAAATAACTGGTAGTTGGAGATTGCTGAACCTTCCAGACTGTGGTTATGGCAGGGGATTTTACCTTATTCCATTTTAGTCATGAGAAATAAGCTCCGCCTCTAACAGCATGCCACCTTGATGCCTCTGGTAAAAAGTAGCTTCCTTTCTGCTTCCAGGCTGTCCTGTTACCTTGAAGTCATCAATTGATGGAGATCATAAACTTCCACTGGCTGCAACTGGCAAGAAAAGAATTAACAATATTTCATGGTCTAGGCCCCCTTCTGATTTTTCCCACTGTTTTGATCGATGGAAGGTTTTTAAGAATCTGAGAGATGGAACAGGCTTTGTCTACCATCTAACCATTTCTAAGTTCATAAAGGTTTAAAGACCTGATTCATATTTATGTATCACTTTGTAGGCCTTCCATTGCATTCATTTATAACTAAAAGAAAAATAAACCAAGAAAACTTGTGTCTTAAAAACAGCAAAAACTTGTGCCTTAAAAACAGCAAACAACCCCCACCGGCAGGGGCAGAGTCTGGGAAACAAGAGGAAAACGAGAGGTGACCTGGAATCTACCCCACCAAGCAACATGCAAACTTGTCAGTCTGAAACAATATGATATCACAGTCATCAGAATTTACAGATCAACATGACTTTACAGATCACTGGGCATTCTTTACAAGAAGCCAACTTGCTGGGTATGGTGGTACATGTCTGTCATTCCATGTCTCAGGAGACTGAGGCATGAGAATTGCCACAAGTTCATGGCCAGCTGGAGCTACATAGCAAGACCTTATCTCAAAACCTTATTTAAAAGGAGCCAATATGTCATGTATAGACATCAATTCTATTTGCAGCACCAGCTTATCCAGGGATGCTTTTATCCTGAGAATGATTCTATCCCCCAAATTGGCTGCCTGTTTGGCCAAGATAAGTTCCATACTGTTAACCTATGTTAAATACAGATGGAACTATGCAAAACAAACAAAAGCCCTGCACTGAGATGTGCCAGTGTATTAAACAGTAATGAATCTGACCCCATAGATGAGTCAGCCAAAAAAAGACCAGATTAGGACAATGATTTCATATCAAACAGTGGTAGAGAGCCTTGACTCTGCCACTTATCAAATCAGCATGACCTTGGGCACTTTATCTATTATTACAAAATTGTGTATATTGAGTATTTATTACTCTCATGGCGGGGAAAAAAATGTTGGAAGATTTTTGTAAATGCCTTTATATCTAAGGCTGAGATATGCATTATACACATGTAAGGATATCCAGAGGTCATTGAAAACCAATGCATGGGTGGGGGGGGGATTATCCCAGAGAAAGGACATGAGCTATCCCCCTTACAAATTTGTCATTACTGTGATTACAGTTTCTTCATATCTCCTCATCAGAATACCTGCCAGCAAGGTGAATATGAGACTTGTAATTTTTTTTTATCTAGCCTTGTGCTTAAAGCCAAATACATATTGAAAAATAATAGCTGTAGCTTTTATTTATGTTTTCTTTAAATTCAAATCCAAATCAGTTTATAATGGTAAATAGAAACAATATTTTATTTTTTGCCATCTATGGATTTACTTTCCTGAACACATCAAGCTCCAATTCTCTCCTCCTGTAGAACACGCCATCTGTTAACTTTGGATTCAACTAAATTGAAACAGCCTGTATGCAGGTGAAATCCAGGATGTCTACTCAGGAGGAACCCAGACACCAAAGAAAGCCCAATCTGGTGCTTGAGAATAACTTGGCAGGTTAAAGATCATATAGGGGAGGAAAGGGCTGCAGACAAAATGTCTTTAGTGCCTGGCTGTATGATAAAGTCATTAAAGGAATAAGGACAAGAATGAAGTGATGATAATGCTGATGATGATGGTGATGATGAGGATGGTAGTGATAATGTTGTTGATGGCAGTGATGATCCTGGTAGAGGTGGCTATAATGCTGATGATGACAATAATGATGGTAGGGGTGGTAATGATAATAATACTGATATAAACAATCCTGTTGACAGAGATTTAGATAAATAACTTCCTGGAGGAAGAGGATCCTGGTAAGACCCTCTGCAGTCCAACATTAAAACAAAAGTGTGAATCAACCTGCTTTTACTCAGTAATAGTCACTCTGAAGTGTTTGGTTCAAGAACAACCTTGGATTATTTCAGGTGAAATTACAGTACTCAGCTCCAGGGGAACAAAATTTGAGGATAAAATAAGGTTTTGTTAACTACATACAATAAACATACATATATGCATGATGCCACGAAAGCTGATGGGCATGCCTGTTCATGTATGTAGGAAGACAGAGAAAAGAGGTTTACTTTGAAGGTGCATCATTGAAAAGGAAGGGCCATGGCAAGCCCTAAGTTTCTACTGCATGAGTGAGAAAGGGATCCCTTTAGAGGAACTGCAGCAACAATCGAACACTGCTAGACTATTATTAGTTACCTGGGAGTAAATTAGGAAAGGACACCTCTCTATACAGATGAAGACAGCTCTGTGACACAGTCCAGGGCTCTGTGTGTGGGCACAGAGTTAGCTCTCTCTTGACTTTTGATTAGGTGCTCTCATTGAAGGCACAACTCAACAGTGCATGCAGTGACCCCAGCTGTAATATCCAGTTGCCTTGGAGATTAGTCAACTTAGAAGATGGCATGATGCTCTGTAACACAATGTTCAGAGAGCACATGCTGATGAACCCATCCTGAGATACAAGCCCAATGGAGGACAGAAACATTGGTCATCTCTTGGCCTTTCCTTGGTGTCAGAGGCAGTGACTACCCCAAGTTCATGAAGAAAATGAGACCTAGAAGAAGAAAGGATAGTATCTCAGAAATATTGGAAGTCAGCCCAATGTAGCAGATGCCTTTAGTTATAACCCTAATGTGTGTCATCAGAATTAATTTGTAAGGACCTGGGATTGTTATTACAGCTACAGGGAACCAAAGAAAGCCAAAACCCAGCATAGTTTCTAAGGTCTAAGAAGGCATTACATGTGAAACAAGTTAAGAGGATTAAAAAGGATCTCTCCCTCTTTCTGTCTGTGTGTGTGTGTGTGTGTGTGTGTGTGTGTGTGTGTGTGTGTGTGTGTGTGTCTCTATCTCTGTCTCCACCCTCTCCCTCCTTCTTTCTCCCTCTTTCTCTCCCCCCCCCCCGACCCTCTCTCTCTGTGTGGATGTGTGTGGATGATGATGATGATGATGATCAAATTTCTCCTGACATACTACAATATTGGTGGTAGTCTTTGGTTTTTTACAACAAAAGTTTCCCCTGGCTGTCATCTCTAAGGAGCAGAGGCTTCACTGTTCTAAGCTAAGACTCAGAAACCCTCTCCTGGATTGGCCTTTCCAAAAATGTGGATAGCAACTTCTATGACATGATTCACAGGATTCCAGTAGGTCTTGTCACCAAAAGCATTTCCCCAATCTTAATTGCCATCTAAAATGTCATTATTAACATTTTATTCCTTCTAGGTGAAAAGTTTTTTCTGCCCTGTGTTCTAGCAAAGATCATACAGCATATTCCCTCTAGACCCCTGCATGATGTCTTCTTCAAGTCTCCTAAAATCTGCTCATATGTCAGTGATTAATTCTGCCCAAAATCAAACAATTAAGTGGGTATGTAAATGCAGTGCTTCTGGGTGCCTTTTGTATAGGTGCCGGAACAGGTTAATTTCTAAACATTTCCCAGACATGTTCTAAAACTAATGCCCTTGGGAGATGCTGTATTGGAACCAATAGTTTGTAAAACAAGATCTATGTTTTCAGCAACAACTGAACTAATAGAAGCGATTGGCCTGCCCTGCAGGTAAGGTACACAGAGAAGCACAAACATGGTAGAGGAAGATGGGCCCCTGCAGATAGCTGCTTTCACAGTAACTGACTTCAATTTGAAAAGTGCATAGCAAGGAGACTCCTTCTTGTGTCCCTGACTCTGCCAATGTCTTTCCCCTAGATGTCTACAATCTCTGCCATCCCTATCCCATTGGAGTTTTTAAAAGCTGACTTCTACTTTGTAGCTCTAGCTTAAAGCTATGGAGAAGGGAACATAGTGGGATGAAGTCTTCCAGGAGGAAGCAAACACATTCCTATAGAATGGTGGTGGCACTGCAGTAAAAACGTATTAGCATTAAGAACTCTATTTTAATAAAAAGGATTGAGTCTGGAGCTGCCCTTTGTTCCCAGTCTGGATTATGACATAGTGGCTCTATGCTCTTCTAAAAAAGTTACTTAACTGCTCAGAGCCTTACTCTCCTCATATATAAAATAATGGTCAATCACCAAATACACTTTGAAGGTGATGGTGAGCATTATTCACACACTGGAAGTGCCTAAGCGGTGCCTGTCTCATCAGAGGATCTTCCCAATGGGAGATTGGCTCTTAGACCACACACTATGCTTTCCAGGCATTACCATTTTAACGTTTACTACATTTGGGGTCCTGTAGGAAGCTCCTCCAAGAAAGAAGAGAATATTTATGATCTGAATATATTAGAGTTTTACAAAGCACAATGAAGCATGCAAGGGGTTCTATCAAAGACTATAAATAAGCCACCACACATGTATTATGCAGTCAATTCTCAATTATTTATGTAAGGCAGGAAAGCAGATCGGTATAGCCCAAGTGAGAGAATGATTCAAAAAGAATCTCTTAGATTTGCCTTGACATTTGCATTGAACTCAGATGTATGTAACATCTGGGGAGTTTTTAAATGTATTCTCCATGAGGAATCCTGACGTAGGACAACAGATTTCCTATATAATCACTAAACAGCCCCTCAATGGATCCGGTCTAGGGAGCAGTGCAAGCCAAGCTTCACACACTCCAAGGGACAGCTTTGGTGCTGTCGAGTTTATTTTATTTATTTATCTATACTTTCGGCACTGCCAAGCACAGTGCGTACGAATAGAGCCTATAAGCAGGCGTCACCACAGGTAAATCAAAAGGTGGGGAATTAGATAATGGAGTTTGAGTGTGTTGACCTCCTGGCAGCAGCTGATAATATGACTTTGAGGGTGACAGAAAGCCTAGATAGAGGTAGAAGGGACCTGCATAGGCCTAGGAACACAGCTCTGTAAAGCACCGGAGATGAGGATTGAGCTGATAATCAGAGATCAAGAAAGCATTTCATTCATTCCTGTGGAGACTAACACTAGAGCTGTGTGTTGGAGCTCCTAAAAAAAAAATCAGCCTGGCATTTTCTTTGGGTCTACAGACATAACGCT